TGGAAGTTGACAGAGCAAATTAGTTTCTCATTAAACAATTAATACAAAATTTTTTTGTGTGACATTTGTTGCCAACCCCGCGATGTGTCAACACTCTCCCCTTCTTGACCTTGGGTTTCCCAGTTCCATTTGTCCTGTTTTCCCGTCCCCTCCTGCCTTCTCATCTTTGCTTTTGGGCTGATATGCCCATTTCAGGATGATATTTTTATAAACGCAAATCTCACTGTGTCACAGTCCACCACCATCAACCTTTTAACGGCATCCCACTGCTCTTAGGATAAAGATCAAAGTCCGTAAATTGGCCTATCTTTCCACCCATGAAGGAAGGGCCTCTGAGAGTTTGGATTTTAACTAACTGCAAATGCAAGGCATGTACAAGGGCAAGAAGAGAAGCAGGAAGATCAATTAGGAGGATAAAGCAGTAGTCAAGGCAAGAGAGGACTCAGTCTGATCCAGGGTAGGAGGGTGGAAGTGGTAAAAACTGCTTAGATTTGTGATACAGTTTGATAAGTCAACAGGACTTGCTGATGAATTGGATGTGGCAGTGAGAGAACAAGAACTTGGTGAACGGTGGTATTAGTAAGTGAAATGAAAAGAGCAGCTTTGCAGGGGTGTACAGGTGTGGAAATCAAGAGTTCTGTTTGGACACACTAAGTCTGAGATACTGATTAGACAACCAAGTGGAAATGCATTAGTTGCTCAAGACCCATATGGCAAAAGCCCCCAGCACCAGGACCCAGGTTTCTTTCAATCTAATTTAGGGCTCTTTTCCCAGTGGTTCTCAAAGCGTAGGCCCAGACTAGCAGCATCAGCATCACCTGAGAAATCGTGAGAAACTCAACTTCTTAGGCCCCACCCCAGACCTACTGAATCTGAAACTCTGGTAGTAGACTCAGCAATTTATGTTTTAACAAGCTTAGGTGACTCATGGAGCCCTGGTGGTGCAGTGGTTAAGAGTTCGGTTGCTAACCAAAAGGTCGACAGTTTGAATTCACCTGCCACTCCCTAGAAACCCTATGAGGCAATTTACTCTGTCCTATAGGGTTGCTATGAGTCGGAATCAACTCGACGGCAACGGGTTTGGTTTGGTTTGGTTTGAGTTTTAGGTGACTCAGGCATGTTAAAGTTTGAGAATCACGGCTTAAAATCATGCTCCTCATCACTAACGAACACCTGATAGCCACAGCTACTCAACATTAGGCTTCTTTGTGCCTCCATAAACCCTTTGCCTAATTAAAATGGATGGTGATTTTTTTCACCCAGGGCTTACTGAGGGCTTCAGACATACCACTCATCAAAGTTTTTTTCAATTCCACTTTCAGAAACAAACTAGAGCAATGGGGGGAAATAAGATAAAATTTGGAACTACTATATCATAACTATCAATATCATAATAATAGTGAAGATTACTGAGTACCCAAGTACTTTCTATGCATTACTTCATTTAATCCTCAAACAGCCTTATGAATTAGATACCCTGTCCCCATGTTACAGATGAGGAGACCAAGGCACAGAGAGTTTAAGTAACTTGCCTAAGGTCACACAGGTAGAAAGTGGCAGAGCTGGGATTTGAATGCAGGCAGTCAGATTTCAAAGCCTGCATTCATTCATTCTTTCTTTTTTTAAAAAATAATTTTAAGGTACAAAAACATATTTAACAAAAAATTAGCCATTTTAACCATTTTTAAGTGTGCATTTCAGTGACATTAATTACATTCACCATGCTGTACAACCATCACCACTCTTTCCAAAAGTTTCCATCACCCCAAACAGAAACTCAGTACCCTCTAAGCAATAACTTCCCATTCCCCCTTTTCCCCAGCCCCTGTTAACCACTAATAAACTTTTGTCTCTATGCATTTGCCTATTCTAGATATTTCATATAAGTGGAATCATACCATACGCGTCCTTTTGTATCTGACTTATTTCACTTAGCATAACGTTTTCAAGGTTCATCTATCTCACAGCATGTTTTAGAACTTAATTTCTCTTTATGGTTGAATAATACCCCATTGCAGGTATCTACCACTTTTTGTTTATCCATTCACCTGTTGATGGACACTTGGGTTGTTCCCACCTTTTGGCTATTGTGAACAGTGCTGTAATGAACACTGGCGTACAGGTACCTGTCTGAGCCAGAGCCTGCATTCTTAACCACAATGGTATATGCTGTCTCCCATCTTCCTAGCTACCAATACGAAGACTACCTGATGTATTAAGTACCTGGACTTTTCTGAATAACTGAGAAAATTTAAAAGAATGTCTAATTCGATGCATATGACCCAGCAATATCACTCTTAGGTAAACACTCAAAAGAATAGAAAACATAGGTCCACACAAAAACCTGTACACAAATGTTCATAGCAGCCTTATTCAGAATAGTTAAAAGGTGGAAACAACTCAGAGGTCCATCAACTGATGAACGGATAAACAAAATGTGGTATATCCATACAATGTACTATTATTCAGCCATAAAAAGGAATGATTTACTGACAGATACTACAACATGGATGAGTCTTGAAAACATTATGCTTAATAAAAGAAGTCAGTCAAAAGGCTACATAGTATATAGATCCCATTTATACAAAATGTCCATAATAAGCAAATACATAGAAACAAAATGTAGATTAGTGGTTGCCATGGGCTGGAGGGAGGAGAGAATGTGGATGGACTACTAATGAGTTTGGGGTTTCTTTTTCGGGGTGATGAAAATGTTCTGAAATTAGTGCTGATGGTTGCACAACTCTGACAAAAAAAACAAAACAAAACACTGAATTATATGTTTTAAAAGGATGAATTCTATGGAATGTGAATTATCTCTCTATATATATTTTTAAGGATCTTAATTTATTTTGAACTTAGGTTATTTTTATGGAATAAAATTCCTACTTGTTGTCATTAAGGTTTCTGGGTCATGATTTGAAGGAAACTGAAAGTAACCTGCCATCACTTTGATTTTGTACTTTTCAATTTGTAAATAAGAGTAAACTAGTTTCACTTCTAGGTTGCACAGACCTAGTACACAGTAATTTGTGTCATTTCCCACCTAGGAGAAAGTTTGTCTTCACTAAGGACAAAAGAGTACAAGTGCAAAAATTCTATTCTTAAGAAAATGTCCTAACATTTTCCTTAAAACAAAACACTTTTCTATCTAAAAGAACCTTACTTTTCTCCCATAACCAGGGGCTCCTGGGGCTTCCCTGCTAAAATCACAGTGGTGAACCATGTTTCTCTTCAACAATCATGGCAGCAAAAACTATTGGGAACTGTGGCAAATTTTAATGCCTTAAGAATAAACAATGAAGATCCCAAAGAATCCACAAGAAAACTACTGGAACTAATAGAAGATTTCAGCAAAGTTTCAGGATACAAGATAAACATAGAAAAATCAGTTGGATTCCTTTACACAACAAAGAGAACCTTGAAAAGGAAATCACCAAATCAATACCATTTACAATAGCCCCCAAGAAGATAAAATACTTAGGAATAAACCTAACCAGAGACGCAAAAACATCTATACAACGAAAACTACAAGACACTACTGCAAGAAACCAAGAGACCTGCATAAGTGGAAAAACATACCTTGCTCATGGGTAGGTAGACTCAACATTGTGAAAATGTCAATTCTACCCAAAGTGATCTACAGATACAATGCAATCCCGATCCAAATTCCACCGGCATTTTTTAATGAGATGGAGAAACAAATCACCAACTTCATATGGAAAGGGAAGAGGTCTCGAATAAGTAAAGCATTACTCAAGAAGAACAAACCGGGAGGCCTCACACTACCTAATTTTAGAACCTATCATACCACCACGGTAGTCAAAACAGCCTGGTACTGGTACAACAACAGATACATAGACCAATGGAACAGAATTGAGAATCCGGACATAAATTCATCCACCTATCAGCAGCTGATATTTGACAAAGGCCCAAAGTCCATTAATTGAGGAAAACACAGTCTCTTTAACAAATGGTGCTGGCATAACCGTATATCTATCCACAAAAAACTGAAACAAGACCCATACCTCACACCATGCACAAAAACTAACTCAAAATGGATCAAAACCTTAAATATAAAATCAAAAACGATAAAGATGATGGAAGAAAAAATAGGGACAAC